GTCCGCTCGGCCGACCGGCTCCCTAACGTGAAAGAAACTTTTCGCCCAATTGTCTCCGCCTCCACCTGGGATCGAACCCGGAACCTCAGGACTACGAATCCGAAGCGCTGTCCACTCAGCTGTCAGGCGCCCCTATCGGACAGAAGACCCTGTCTTCTGTCTTCATCTATTTATGTTCTCATTATATTCTCACCTTTGGTTTGTGTTGTTGACCTTCCATTAACTGTTACTAATGACCTGATCTCCATTATTCGCCTCTACCAAATTTCCTACAATTTTAGCTGTTTATTCCTTGCCTCCCATTAATTCCCCACTATTTCCCTAACCCCATCTCCCGCCCTCTGTCCTCCCATTAGCTCTGTGCTCCTAACCCCCTTTCTTACCCTCCCCCTCTATTTCCCCCTCTCCCCAGTGCCACAAAGTCCAGTCTATCGCGCCCATTAGATCCATAACCTGGGTAATGGAGCGGGGTTGAAAATAGATAAGAATTGTAATGGATATAAATGCTGGTGGGAGCAACCCTTTGTTGAAGCAGCCAGGATGTGCCCCCCGCCCTGGGCATGGGTAGGGTGGGGCAGGTCAGCCCTTGGTGGGGGTAGTGGTGGAGGGTCAGCCCTTGGTGGGGGTGGAGGAGGAGGGGGGGGGTCGTCCCTTCAGTTTACCAAGTCTAAGATGGAGAATGACAAACACAAACATCATAGCAGGGAACGAACCGGGAAATAACCAACCACAGGTCAGAGAACTTTTGAGATTCTGTGACAAATTCTCGCTCAATCAACAGACTACAGAACCAACTAGGAACGAAAACACACTAGACTTGTTATTCACAAGCAATGATGAATATCAGAGACATAGCAATCTCAGATACTACAAACTAACAGTAATAACAGTATTAGGTCCAAGAGAATCATCAAGCGAGTAGGGGTATTCAGTCAATTCAGTTTCAACAATAAGAGGATCGACTTGGAAAAAATAAATATAGATCTTGCAACCATTCAATGGGAGACGGTCTTAAACGACAAAACTCCCACACAGGGAATAGCTCAACTGACAGCTGAAGCTTACAAGGTCTGCTTGAAGCACGTGCCTGTGAGGAGGGGCAGAAAGAGGACCACTCTAGAAAGAGAACGCAGACGACTGTACTTGAGGTTATCTTGAGATGATTTCGGGGCTTTTTAGTGTTCCCCGCGGCCCGGTCCTCGACCAGGCCTTCACCCCCAGGAAGCAGCCCGTGACAGCTGACTAACACCCAGGTACCTATTTTACTGCTAGGTAACAGGGGCATAGGGTGAAAGAAACTCTGCCCATTGTTTCTCGCCGGCGCCTGGGATCGAACCCAGGACCACAGGATCACAAGTCCAGCGTGCTGTCCGCTCGGCCGACCGGCTCCCCTTGGTACAGGAGAAGGAAAAAATAACGGAAATGCTTAGGCAGACACGACTATCACAAGAAAAGAAAATAAACTTGAACAGGGAGATCGAAGAAACAGAACAAACGTTGAAGCGATCATACGAGTCTGAGGAAATGGAATTGGAACAGAAAGCTATATAAGAGATAAAGAAAAATCCAAAATATTTTTCACATTCTAAATCAAAATAAAAAACCTCCATCAGTATTGGACCTTTAATTACCACTGAAGGTACGTACACAGAGGACAACAAAGAAATTTTTGAAATTCTAAGAAGCCAGTATGAGGCTATGTTTAGCACACCAATAAACAACATGAAAGTTGATGACCCAGACAGCTTCTTTATGAATGACATGCAAGCTGCAGATAATATAACACCATGCCCATGCACTCAGCTCCTGGGCCTGACTCGTGGAATTCAATATTTATAAAGAAATGTAAAGTACCAGTAGCGCAAGCTCTCAGCGTAATATGGAGAAAGAGCCTGGATACAGGGGAGGTACCAGCTGCACTTAAATCAGCAGATATAGCTCCTCTGCACATGGGAGGTAGTAAAGCTTTGGCAAAAAATATAGACCAGTTGCACTAACATCTCACATAATACAAGTTTTTGAAAGAGTGATTAGGAATCAAAATCCTAGTTTTATTGAAAATAATGAACTACACAACCCAGGACAATATAGATTTAGAGCGGGAAGATCCTGTCTGTCACAGTTACTCAACCACTATGACAAAATCACAGAAGCCTTAGAGGAAAAGCAAAATGCAGATGTTGTATACACAGACTTTGCAAAAGCATTCGACAAATGTGACTCTGGAGTGATAGCACACAAAATGAGGTCAATTGGAATAACAGATAAAGTGGGGCGTTGGATTTTCAACTTTCTATCAAACAGAATGCAGTGTGTGACGTCAATCCAATAAGATCAAGCCCAAGTGCAGTGAAAAGCTCTGTACCCCAGATCACAGTCCTTGCACCGCTGCTAGTTCTCATTCTTATCTCTGATATAAACAAAAATACTAGTCACAGCTTCGTGTCGTCCTTTACACATGATACATCAGCATGAAAATTTCCTCTGTAGAAGACACTGACACTGAACTGTAGGCAGATATTAATACTAATATTAATTAGTATTTTTTTAGGACCTTCCATGCGTGAAGTCGTCGATTGGGCAACAGAAAATAACATGATTAACGGCGACAAGTTCCAGGTACTTAGGTTCGGTGAAACTTAGGTATATTAGTATCCTCGTTTCATTTTTAACGAAGATAAGTTCTAGCTCCTGCGCTACGGAAAAAAATAAAATCTAAAAACGGAAACAACGTACAAAATGCAGTCAAATCATAACATAGAACTAAAAAGCAATGCAAAGGACCTGGGTGTACTCACGTCGGAAGTCCTAACCTTTTAAAGTGCACAATAAAGTAGCCGTCATAACGGCAAGAAAAATGACAGGTTGGATAACAAGAATCCTTCGCACTAGAGATGCTATATCAATGATGAGACTTTTCAAGACGCTAGTGCTCTCTAGAGTGAAATACTGTTGCATAATGACAGTCCTTTTCAAAACTGGAGAAATTGCTGACCTGGAGAGCGTGCAGAGACCCTTTACTGCTAGAATCCATTCAGTAAAACTTCTAAACTATTGGGAACGACTAAAATGCCTAAATCTGTAATCTCTTGAGCGCAGGCGGGAGAGATACATAATAATTTACACGTGGGAAAATAGTAGAGGGGCTGGTCCCAAACCTGCACACAGAAATAACACCACATGAGACCAGGAGGCATGACAGAATGTGCAGAATAACCCTGTTGAAGAGCAGAGGTGCAACAGGTACTCTGAGAGAGAACTATCAACATCAGAGGCCCGAGACTGTTCAACACGCTTCCACTACACATAAGGGGCATAACTGGCCGACCCTCACAGTGTTCAAGAGAGAACTGGATAAACACCTCTAAAGGATACCTGATCAACCAGGCTATAACTCATACGTCATGCTTCGAGCAGCCGCGTCCAACAGCCTGGTTGACCAGTCCAGCAACGAGGAGGCCTGGTCGACGACCGGGCCGCGGGTACGCTAAGCCCCGAAATCATCTCACGGTAGCCTTATGGTAAGTTAAACGAAACACAGGGTACAGGACACAATCAGACCTACTTATGGAAGGAAAGCAACACGTAAAAGATCTGGGAATTATGATATCTGACGACCTGACATTTAGTGAACATAACCGAGCAAATATAGCGGCCGCCAGGAAAATGATAGGATGGTTTATGAGAACGTTCAAATCCAGAGACCCCACAGCAATGCTAATACTATTTAAATCACTGGTGCTGTCCCGTCTTGAGTATTGCTCGGTACTCACTTCCCCTTTCAGAGCGGGAGAGATCTCTGAATTTGAGGGACTACAGAGAACATATACGGCACGCTTAGAAACGATAAAACAGCTAAATTAATGGGACTTTCTCAAAGATCTCAAAATGTACTCTCTGGAAAGGCGACGAGAAAGGTATCAAATAATATATACATGGAAGATACTGGAAGGCCAGGTCCCAAATTTGCACAGTAGAATAATAATTTGCACAGTTCAAATCCAGGGATCCCATCACAATGGTTGTACTCTTCAAGTCACTTGTGTTGTCCCGTCTTGAGTACTGCTCAGTACTCACTTCCCCCTTCAGAGCAGGAGAGATTGCTGAAATAGAGGGAATACAGAGAACATATACGGCACGCATAGATGCAATAAAGCACCTAAATTATTGGGATCGTCTCAAAGCCCTCCAAATGTACTCACTAGAAAGAAGACGAGAGAGATATCAAATAATATACACCTGGAAGATACTGGAGGGCCAAGTACCAAATGTACACAGTAAAATAACAACGTACTGGAGTGAACGATATGGAAGAAAATGTAGAATAGAACCAGTGAAGAGCAGAAGTGCCATAGGCACAATCAGAGAACACTGTATAAACATCAGAGGTCCACGGTTGTTCAATGTCCTCCCAGCGAGCATAAGAAATATTGCTGGAACAACCGTGAACATCTTCAAGAGAAAACTAGATTGTTTTCTAAAAGAAGTTTCAGAACAACCGGGCTGTGGTGGATATGTGGGCCTGCGGGCCGCTCCAAGCAACAGTCTGGTGGACCAAACTCTCACAAGTCAAGCCTGGCCTCGGGCCGGGCTTGGGAAGTAGAAGAACTCCCAGAACTCCATCAACCAAGTATCAACCAGACATGGAGCCGATGGATTGTTTCAAGCGTAGGTTAGACATGTATGTAAATTGTAGAATAGACCCAGTGAAGAGTAGAGGTGCCACAGACACAATCAGAGAACACTGTATGAACATCAGAGGTCTACAGCTATTTGATCTCCTCCTAACTAATGTAACAAATATTGCCATATAACAAAAGTGGACGTATTAAAGAAACGATTAGAAAATTTCCTGTGGTGACTGGATCAACCGGATTGCAGGTGATATGTGGGCCTGCAGATTGCTCCAAGCAAAAGCCTGAACCATCCTCTCACGACACTTAGAGCGACAACTAGTGAGGGAGATTGGGCGAAAGGCACTCTGCTGATTAGGCTCAGGAATGGGAATAATAAGGCTGTTGGTCCCATCACTTTGGAAGCTCCCCAGTTACATAACTTATATTATACAGTTGAAGCAAAGAGTTTCTGGCACTAGTACAAGCGAACGCAGTATGCCGTAAGTAACTCCAGCCTCCCTTGGAGGCCTGGTCGACGACCGGGCCGCGGGGACGCTAAGCCCCGGAAATTCCTCAAGGTAACCTCAAGGTAACCTCCCCGGGAGATGTAGCCCTACCTTTATGTAGAACGTAGACGAGCAGAATGTAGTTCATAGTCAGTAAAAAGCATGTCACAGTCATCCTCCTGATGAAGCATGAAGTCAAGGCGCCTCGGTCTATCGTCATATCTATTATTTAATGGATAGGAGGATGAGTGTGGGGGTTCCGCCTCGTAATTTTTGCCACAAGATTTTGAGAGCTTGAATCTGTGGCTGCAAGAGGAAGAAGATAATCATAGGAGAAGGGGAGGGGGTGAAATGGTAGGAAGGGAGAGAGGGAAGGATGGAAGGAGTTAGACAGATTAACTGCAACCGCGTCCTTCACAGATCTTGTGTAATAGTGTTGATTGTGCTTAGATAGACTCGAGAGTGGTGGAGGGAGAAGAGGCGTATGATGCTTGGAGAGGGATGGATGCTGCTAGGCTTGGAGAGGGATGGATGCTGCTAGGCGAGAGATGCCGCTAGGTAGAGATGGATGCTACTAGGATTGGAGCGGGATGGATGCCTCTGGGATAGGAGAGCGATGGATGCTGCTAGGCAAAAGAGATGCCGCTAGGTGGAGAGGGATGGATGTTGCTAGGTTAGAAAGATGACGCTAGGTGAAGAGGGATAAATGCTGCTAGGTGGAAGGAGGCTGGGAATCCCTAGCTCTGTTGTCTCAGTTCTCCTCGTCCAAATCCTCATGTTTTGCTGGCGGAATATTTATGCCCGTGTCCGAATCCTGTACTAACTCTCTTTTTTGGTTCTGCCTTAATATTTATGTGCGTGAGTGGAGCGTGGCGTGTAGGTTTAGTGTGTGTACGTGTGTGTGGGGGCGTGTAGGTGTTGTCATGGGGGCGGCGTTGGCAGGTTCCGACAGGGCGGCTCGTGTCAGCCTCTGTCGGCGCCCACGTCCGACGCCTGGATAAACGCGCTTGTAAACACGACTCTCGCGAGTCTGCTGCCCAGGTTCGAACCCCCCAACTGTCATGCCCATCGTTCTTACCTAACGGTGCTCCTTCGCGCTCAAGGGTTCGAAACTCCCCCTCCCTCATTTTCTTGCCTGTAGCAGTAATTGTGGCTCCCCCTCCTCCTCCTCCCCCTCCCCTTCCACAGGGAGGGGAGGTTGAGGGACTTGTGTGTGTGGGGGGGGGGGGGGGAGGGGCGGCCTTGGCGGATCATGTCTCTAAGCATTAACAGTTCTCAAGTGTTGATCACGGCATTGTTGAAGTCTCACTCTGATTATGCCTCTCCCGCCCCCTCCCTCACCTCTCCCTTCTGTCCCCCTCCTCTCTCCTTCCCCCGTCCTTCACCCTGTCACACTGGAGGCTGCTGCCCCTTCCCAGGTCACACTGGAGGCTGCTGCACCTTCCCAGGTCACACTGGAGGCTGCTGCTCCTCCCCAGGTCACACTGGAGGTTGCTGCTGTCCCTCCCCAGGACACACTGGAGGCTGCTGCTGCCCCTCCCCAGGACACACTGGAGGCTGCTGCTGCCCCTCCCCAGGACACACTGGAGGCTGCTGCTGCCCCTCCCCAGGACACACTGGAGGCTGCTGCTGCCCCTCCCCAGGACACACTGGAGGCTGCTGCTGCCCCTCCCCAGGACACACTGGAGGCTGCTGCTGCCTCTCCCCAGGACACACTGAAGGATGCTGCTGCCCCTCCCCAGGACACACTGAAGGATGCTGCTGCCCCTCCCCAGGACACACTGAAGGATGCTGCCCCTCCCCAGGACTCACTGAAGGCTGCTGCTGCCCCTCCCCAGGACACACTGAAGGATGCTGCTGCCCCTCCCCAGGACACACTGAAGGATACTGCTGCCCCTCCCCAGGACACACTGAAGGATGCTGCTGCCCCTCCCCAGGACACACTGGAGGCTGCTGCTGCCCCTCCCCAGGACACACTGGAGGCTGCTGCTGCCCCTCCCCAGGACACACTGAAGGATGCTGCTGCCCCTCCCCAGGACACACTGAAGGATGCTGCTGCCCCTCCCCAGGACACACTGAAGGATGCTGCTGCCCCTCCCCAGGACACACTGAAGGATGCTGCTGCCCCTCCCCAGGACACACTGGAGGCTGCTGCCCCTCCCCAGGACACACTGAAGGATGCTGCTGCCCCTCCCCAGGACACACTGGAGGCTGCTGCCCCTCCCCAGGACACACTGGAGGCTGCTGCCCCTCCCCAGGACACACTGGAGGCTGCTGCCCCTCCCCAGGACACACTGAAGGATGCTGCTGCCCCTCCCCAGGACACACTGGAGGCTGCTGCCCCTCCCCAACACTCGTGGACGCCTCTGTGGGTGTGAATAAAGCCGTTGAGCCGAGGTTCTACCTAGTGTTTATTTTTGGGCTTATTGTTTAGCCTGAGATGTGCAGGAGGGGGTTCCCGGGGGTGGGGGTACGGGGCGTGGAGAGGTACGGGGCCCGGGGGAAAGGGGGTTATGGGGCCGTGGTGGCCCCATACTTGTATATTCGCCCTAATTATTTCTCACCAAATTGATTGAGAGATGGCTTCTTCAATAAGGAATTGTAAAAGCACTTTCAATAGGAACATAATTGAATCTGCTCTAATACAGATTACAAAATAATGTAATTTGAACATTAGCAGTGGGTTATATAATTTAGATCCATTTTTGATTGATCAGTTAAAGGGCGATTTGAGTAAGATCATTGATAAAAATTTGTCTACCTAATTCATTGTTAATATCTACTATCTTAGTAGTAGTAGTAGTAGTAGGATAATGCTATTATTATCCATGTATGGGCCTATTGGCCCATATGATGCAGCTCTTATTTTATGTCCACTTAATCCAATTCATATATTTGTCATTGTACCTCACTTCACCTCTCTCTCCTGCCTATATATGTCCTAAACTTATTGACTTGTAAATCATTCCTTCTGAAGATGTATTAATCTACGAAAGTACTTAAGGAAATTCAATTCTTCCTCCGTTGTCTGACACTTTTATATATATATATATATATATATATATATATATATATATATATATATATATATATATATATATATATATATATATATATATATTAGTATATTTTGGTAGCAGTCTTTCCTGTAGACATATATTATTAAATATGACCGAAAAAGTAAGATTAATAATTCTAACACCAATTTTCTCGATCTTTCTTACGTTTCTTTTCACTGTTGGTGGTAATTCAAAAATCAATTCTCCAAAATTCATTTTTATTTCTAGTCTGACGCGACACTTGAGCGCGTTTCGTAAAACTTATTACATTTTCAAAGACTTTAGTTTACACACACACACACAATTTTAACTGAATAGAGCTTAAACATCTTCGAATTTTTATACCTACATTTGGGTGAGGTGACATGTTACAACAGTTTTGGATGAGGTGAAAATAAACTTTTAACATAAGACAGGACACGAAACAATGGGTATTAAAGGTATGTAACTGCAGAAGGCCTATTTTTATTGGCCCATATTTCTTGATGCTTCTATATTGGAGCGGAGTCTTGAAGTGGGTAGAATATAGTTGTGCATTAATTGGCTGTTGATTGCTGGTGTTGACTTCTTGATGTGTAGTGCCTCGCAGATGTCAAGCCGCCTGCTATCGCTGTATCTATCGATGATTTCTGTGTTGTTTGCTAAGATTTCTCTGGTGATGGTTTGGTTGTGGGAAGAGATTATATGTTCCTTAATGGAGCCCTGTTGCTTATGCATCGTTAAACGCCTGGAAAGAGATGTTGTTGTCTTGCCTATATACTGAGTTTTTTGAGGCTTACTGTCCCCAAGAGGGCATTTGAAGGCATAGACGACGTTGGTCTCTTTTAAATCGTTCTGCTTTGTGTCTGGAGAGTTTCTCATGAGTAGGCTGGCCGTTTTTTTGGTTTTATAGTAAATCGCCAGTTGTATCTTCTGATTTTTGTCTGTAGGGTTAACGTTTCTATTAACAATATCTTTCAGGACCCTTTCCTCCGTTTTATGGGCTGTGGAAAAGAAGTTCCTGTAAAATAGTCTAATAGGGGGTATAGGTGTTGTGTTAGTTGTCTCTTCAGAGGTTGCATGGCGTTTCACTTTCCTTTTTATGATGTCTTCGACGAAACCATTGGAGAAGCCGTTGTTGACTAGGACCTGCCTTACCCTACAGAGTTCTTCGTCGACTTGCTTCCATTCTGAGCTGTGGCTGAGAGCACGGTCGACATAAGCGTTAACAACACTCCTCTTGTACCTGTCAGGGCAGTCACTGTTGGCATTTAGGCACATTCCTATGTTTGTTTCCTTAGTGTAGACTGCAGGTGTGAAGCGTGTGGGTGAGTGTGGGGCGTGTGGGTGGTGTGGGGCGTGTGGGTGAGTGTGGGGCGTGTGGGTGAGTGTGGGGCGTCTGGGTGAGTGTGGGGCGTCTGGGGCGTGTGGGCGAGTGTGGGGCGTGTGGGTGAGTGTGGGGCGTGTGGGCGAGTGTGGGGCGTGTGGGCGAGTGTGGGGACGTGTGGGCGAGTGTGGGACGTGTGGGTGAGTGTGGGGCGTGTGGGTGAGTGTGGGGCGTGTGGGTGAGTGTGGGGCGTGTGGGTGAGTGTGGGGCGTGTGGGTGAGTGTGGGGCATGTGGGTGAGTGTGGGGCGTGTGGGCGAGTGTGGGGCGTGTGGGTGAGTGTGGGGCGTGTGGGTGAGTGTGGGGCGTGTGGGTGAGTGTGGGGCGTGTGGGTGAGTGTGGGGCGTGTGGGTGAGTGTGGGGCGTGTGGGCGAGTGTGGGGCGTGTGGGTGAGTGTGGGGCGTGTGGGTGAGTGTGGGGCGTGTGGGGCGTGTGGGTGAGTGTGGGGCGTGTGGGCGAGTGTGGGGCGTGTGGGCGAGTGTGGGGCGTGTGGGCGAGTGTGGGACGTGTGGGTCGTGTGGGCGAGTGTGGGGCGTGTGGGCGAGTGTGGGACGTGTGGGCGAGTGTGGGACGTGTGGGGCGTGTGGGTGAGTGTGGGGCGTGTGGGTGAGTGTGGGTGAGTGTGGGGCGTGTGGGTGAGTGTGGGGCGTGTGGGTGAGTGTGGGGCGTGTGGGTGAGTGTGGGGCGTGTGGGTGAGTGTGGGGCGTGTGGGTGAGTGTGGGGCGTGTGGGGTGAGTGTGGGGCGTGTGGGGCGTGTGGGCGAGTGTGGGGCGTGTGGGTGAGTGTGGGGCGTGTGGGTGAGTGTGGGGCGTGTGGGGCGTGTGGGTGAGTGTGGGGCGTGTGGGCGAGTGTGGGGCGTGTGGGTGAGTGGGGCGTGTGGGCGAGTGTGGGGCGTGTGGGCGAGTGTGGGACGTGTGGGCGAGTGTGGGACGTGTGGGTGAGTGTGGGGCGTGTGGGTGAGTGTGGGGCGTGTGGGCGAGTGTGGGACGTGTGGGAGAGTGTGAGGCGTGTGGGAGAGTGTGGGACGTGTGGGAGAGTGTGGGACGTGTGGGCGAGTGTGGGACGTGTGGGCGAGTGTGGGGCGTGAGGGCGAGAGGGAGTCAGGCGGAGAGATAACCTGGCCTGGGCCGCCCTCCTGGAAAGTCACTCATATTGGCGTTTGTTTTTCCCTCCTCACTGGAAGCGGCCGTACAGGCGCCCTGGGCTGAGTGAGGGAGGGAGGAACGGTGAGAGGAAGGTAGGGAGAGAGGAAAAGAGGAAGGGAGGGACGGGGAGAGGCAAGGACTGTTAAAGGTGGAAGGCAGGGAGGTAGGAAGGCAGGGAGGTAGGAAGGCAGGGAGGTAGGAAGGCAGGGAGGTAGGAAGGTAGAGAGAGGCAAGGGCTGTTAGAGGTGGAGGGGAGGGAAAGGATGGCCAGAGAAGAAAAGAGTGAGGGAGGGAGAGAGAGAACGCCGCTGATGGTATCATAGTCTGCTGGAGTCACTTACAGGACCTGCCTGGTGTTGTGGCACTATCTGCACCCGAGCTTGGCTTTTGGAGGCGGTTTCTGCATGGTTGAGATATAGAGGGCGGGGGGGGGGGTGCTATGTAATGAAAGGGGGGCCCTGGTGAGGTATAAGGGGGGGGGGGGGCAGGCGATGTGTAGGAGGGCCAGGCAATATATAGGGGGGAGGGGAACGCCACAGCAGTGTACTGTGTCGGGGGCGGCGCCACAGCAGTGTGCTGTGTCGGGGGCGGCGCCACAGCAGTGTGCTGTGTCGGGGGCGGCGCCACAGCAGTGTGCTGTGTTGGGGGCAGCGCCACAGCAGTGTACTGTGTCGGGGGCGGCGCCACAGCAGTGTACTGTGTCATGGGATATTGGGAAGAACAAATGGAATATGTAAATATGATCATCCCAGAAAGTGCAGAAACCTTCTTAGTACAGTACAGTACAGGTAAATGTACCAAAAGCTGTGATTTCTTTCACCCAGAACTGTGCAAGAACACTTTAAATAAGAATGAATGTTTCAACACAATGTCCAACTTTTCATATAAAAGGTACCAGGCGAATAAAACCGACAGACCGCCTTGATGAAAGCAGCCACAATACTATTTACCAGGATGATTTTTTAGCAAGAGGAGGAGAAAAATGGCTAAAAATGTCCAGACTCTACCACCAACTCGGTCAAATGCTAGAGAGGACACAAACACAGTGGCCTCCCTACCAGAGCCTCAGATATTAACACCAAGTAAAGCATCCAGCACTTCCACAAACCTGATATTTTTATTTGCAAACATTCAGGGGTATAAAAACACACAAATCTAACAAAGTTCACTTTATAGCTGGCCTCCTACATGAGGCAAATGCAGTGTTTGCAACACTAACGAAAATCCGCACAAAGGACTACCATGATGGTAAAATATGGATTTTGGAGTACAATCTTTTCAGATGCGACAGGAAACAGGTTACAGGGTGGGGTCAGCCTGTACATCAAAGACACACTCATCTGCACTGAGCTGCTAAATACCACAAACGATATGGTGTAAGTGCTGATAATCAAACTAGAGATCCTAAATGTAGTTATTGTCCTTGTATATAAGTCACAGGAGGCAAATCCTCAGCAGTTTAAAGACAACTAATGAAAATAGAACACCGCTTAGAAAACCTCACAAATCCAGCCCCGAACATCATCCTGCTTGGGGACTTCAATCTACAGCACCTGAAATGGAAGACCCTAGCTAATACAGTTATACAGTATCCGAGAGAATACCGGGAAGTACCCTAAATGAACAGTCACATGCAAATGACCTGCTACGGATGTGCAACAGATTTGTCTTAAACCAGCAAATAGTAGAACTAGAAAGGAGAACACGCTGGACCTCATTTTCACTAATACAGTACAGTAATGATTAATTGATCAGGAACATAATGATGGACAAATACCGGTTACTCAGATCACAAATTAATTGAAGCTCTGACAAGCATGGGGAATAGACTTGCAAAACCAGTCCTGAATCCCAGTGGAGGAGAATTCAGCAAATTCAATTTCAATAATAAACAGATAAACTGTGATTTTTCATGAATGTGATTACCAACACCAAATCATATATCAGATATCACCCTATTCCCACTGGATTTTGAAGAAGCCATAGACAGTATGCCTATGCACTCTGCACCAGGCCCTGATTCTTGGAACTCTATATTCATCAAGAACTGTAAAAAACAACTAGCACTTCACATTCTTTGGAGACAGAGCCTAGATACTGGCATTATCCCTGACATACTAAAAACAGCAGAGATAGCACCACTCCACAAAGGAGGAAATATGGCAGAGACAAAAAATTACAGACCAACAGCACTAACATCACACATCATAAAAATCTTTGAGTGCTAAGAAGAAAGATCACAAAATACTTGGAATCACAGAATCTCCATAACCCTGGACAACATGGTTTCAGAACAGGGCATTCTTGCCTATCACAGCTGCTGGACCACTATGACATGGCCTTAGAACTGTGCTTGCTCCAGTACTTTTTCTCATTCTCATATCAGACATAGACAAGGACACAATCTACAGTACTGTATCATCCTTTGCAGATGACACTAGGATTTTTATGCGAGTAGACAACATACAGGATACGGCAAACTTCCAATCAGATGTAAATCAGGTCTTTCTATGAGCTACAGAAAATATGGTGATTAACGAAGGTAAGTTCCAGCTCCTGCACTAGGATAAAATGAAAATATAAAAACGAAAACCACCTACAAAACGCAATCAAATCATAACAGAATGAAAAGACAACGTAAAGGATTTGGGTGTACTCATGTTGGAAGACCTTACCTTTAAAGAACACAATAAAGTAGCCATCATATCTGCAAGAAAAATGACAGGTTGCATAACAAGAACCTTTCACACTAGAGATGCTATACCAACGAAGATACTTTTCAAAATGCTAGTGCTCTCTTGAGTGGAATACTGTTGCACAATGACAGCCCTTTCCAAGCTTGAGAAATTGCTATCCTGGAGAGCGTGCAGAGATCCTTTACTGCTAGAATCCACACGGTAAAACATCTAAACTATTAGAACCAACTAAAATGCCTAAATCTGAATCCCGAGCGCAGGTGGGAGATACATATAATAATTCACACGTGAAAAATAGTAGAGGGGCTGGTCCCAAATCTGCACACCAAAATAACACCACACAAGATCAGAAGGCATGGCAAGATGTACAGAATATCCCTGTTGAAAAGCAGAGGTGCAATAGGTACTCAGAAATATCAACATCAGAGGTCCGAGACTGTTCAACATGCTTCCACTACACATAAGGGGCATAACTGGCCGACCCCTCAGTGTGGGGGTCCACACTGCTTATCAAGTTCCAAGAGAACTTGATAAGCATCTCCAAAGGATACCTGATCAACTAGGCTGTGACTCATACATCAGGCTATGAGCAGCTTTGTCCAACAGCCTGATTGACCAGTCCAGCAACGAGGAGGCCTGGTCGGGGGGGGGTTAAAAGTATGTAAGGGCCTGGTGAGATATAAAGGAGCCCGGTGAGGTGTGAGTAGGGGGGCTAGGTGAGGTGTGAGTAGGGGGGCTAGGTGAGGTGTGAGTAGGGGGGCTAGGTGAGGTGTGAGTAGGGGGGCTAGGTGAGGTGTGAGTAGGGGGGCTAGGTGAGGTGTTAGTAGGGGGGGCTAGGTGAGGTGTGAGGAGGGGGGCTAGGTGAGGTGTGAGTAGGGGGGCTAGGTGAGGTGTGAGTAGGGGGGCTAGGTGAGGTGTGAGTAGGGGGGCTAGGTGAGGTGTGAGTAGGGGGGCTAGGTGAGGTGTTAGTAGGGGGGCTAGGTGAGGTGTGAGGAGGGGGGCTAGGTGAGGTGTGAGTAGGGGGGCTAGGTGAGGTGTGAGGAGGGGGGCTAGGTGAGGTGTGAGGAGGGGGGCTAGGTGAGGTGTGAGGAGGGGGGCTAGGTGAGGTGTGAGGGGGCTGAGCGCGTCAACAACAATGTGGTATTCTCCAGACGGAGAGAGAAGGGTGGGAGATGGTCTTGGGGGGTAGTGGTGGTAGGTATGTGGAGGGTGGTATGTTGTGAGGGAGGGAGAAGATGAGGGGTGGTATGTGGGGGGGGGGAGGCGAGTGAGAGAGCGAGGAGAGAGAGAGGGAGAGAGAGAAAGAGGGGGTCTTTTTGTACCACCTTTGCACAAACCTGTCCTACGCGTTCGTCATCCCCCACGGCTCAAATGTCTCCTCTAGAAGTCGCTCAGTTCCCACCCCAGAAGCCGCTAGATCATCGCTTGATGGTTCCTAAACACACACAACTCTGGGAAAATGGGTGTGTATGTATAGTGTAAGGAGTGTACCGGGTGTAGGTGTGTGTGTGCGCTGAAGCCAGGGTCAACCTGAGGGATGAGACAGGCGACCCACCGCTGACCACTCCCCACCTCTTCGTCGTGGTAAAAAGAAGGATTAGTTAGGCCTGGATGGTGGATTATCGCTTAGTCGCGCCAGGTACCATAACAAGGGACAACACCTTGACTCTTCTGAGGAAATACTAGATGCCTTGATTGACTCGGTGCGCACTAGATGGGTTTCCAGTGCTAATGTGTGTGTGGGGCAACCTGGAACTATGGAGCCGTATTGCTGTTGAGTGTATTGTGCTTTGGAAGTGGTGTAGTTGAGTGTATGGTGGTGTAGTTGAGTGTATGGTGGTGTAGTTGAGTGTATGGTGGTGTAGTTGAGTGTATGGTGGTGTTGTTGAGTGTATGGTGGTGTAGTTGAGTGTATGGTGGTGTAGTTGAGTGTATGGTGGTGTGGTGTAGTTGAGTGTATGGTGGTGTAGTTGAGTGTATGGTGGTGTAGTTAAGTGTATGGTGGTGTAGTTGAGTGTATGGTGGTGTAGTTGAGTGTATGGTGGTGTAGTTGAGTGTATGGTGGTGTAGTTGAGTGTATGGTGGTGTAGTTGAGTGTATGGTGGTGTAGTTGAGTGTATGGTGGTGTAGTTGAGTGTATGGTGGTGTAGTTAAGTGTATGGTGGTGTAGTTGAGTGTATGGTGGTGTAGTTGAGTGTATGGTGGTGTAGTTGAGTGTATGGTGGTGTAGTTGAGTGTATGGTGGTGTAGTTGAGTGTATGGTGGTGTAGTTGAGTGTATGGTGGTGTAGTTGAGTGTATGGTGGTGTAGTTGAGTGTATGGTGGTGTAGTTGAGTGTATGGTGGTGTAGTTGAGTGTATGGTGGTGTAGTTGAGTGTATGGTGGTGTAGTTGAGTGTATGGTGGTGTAGTTGAGTGTATGGTGGTGTAGTTGAGTGTATGGTGGTGTAGTTGAGTGTATGGTGGTGTAGTTGAGTGTATGGTGGTGTAGTTGAGTGTATGGTGGTGTAGTTGAGTGTATGGTGGTGTAGTTGACTGTATGGTGGTGTTGTTAAATATATGGTATAGGAGAGTTTATGTACTTGCCTAGTTGTGCTTGCGGGGGATGAGCGTTGGCTCTTTAGTCCCGCCTTTCAACTATCAATCAACTGGTGTATAGATTCTGGAACCTATTGGACTCTTATCAAATCTACATTTGAAACTGTGTATGGAGTCAGCCTCCACCACATCACTGCCTAATGCATTCCATTTGTTAACTACTCTTACACTGAAACAATTATTTCTAATGTCTGTGTTGCTCATTTGGGCACTCAGTTTCCACCTGTGACCCACGTGTAGTTGTGGTGTAGGTGAGTGTATGGTCTACCTACCTTGTGTAGCTTTTGGGGATCAACAGCCCCGCGGCCCAGTCTCCGACCAGGCCTTCAGGTTGGTAATCTGGTCAACCAGGTTGTTGGACGCGGCTGCTCGCAGCCTGACGTATAAGTCACAGCCTGGTTGA